GGCACAGCCCGGGAAGCTGACGGACGGCCCGCGCCCCGGACGGCTCCGGGGTCCGGGTCTCTCACCAGAAAGCCGCGTTCAGCCCCAGGCACCACAGGGCGCTCCGGGCCGGCCGCTCCCACACCAGGGCCGCCTGCAGCCGGCTCAGCAGCGGCTCGTACGGCCCCAGCACCTGCACCAGGGCCCGCTGCACCGCCTCCACCTGCTGGTCGCGCTCCCAGGAACCCGACTGGGCTCGGCGGCCCCTAACAGCCGATCCTGCCGCAGGGTCCGGGGCCGAGGCCAGCCCCTCAGCCTCCGCCATCTCCCCCGCGCAGCCACAACCTCCGCGGCCGCGGGGAGACAGTCACAATAACACCAACTGCGCAGACGCATCGGGCCCGAAGACCGCCTCTCCCCACGGCGCGCATGCGCAGAGCTTCCAGCGTGCGCACGCAGAGGCGAGGGAAAGACGCTGCGTCAAAGAACGTCGCGACGCGCACGCGCATTTGCAGACGTGAAGCCACGGGATTAAGGAAGTGCCGTCTCCAGGGTTCAGTTCTCATTGGAGCAGAGAAAGTTCGCGGGAGCCGCGGGTTGTTTGGCGCCTGCGTCTTGCGGGGAGCGTGCTGGCCGGAGTGGCTGCAACGCTAGCGCCCCAAGGAGCGATGCCGAGGGAAATCATCACTCTGCAGTTGGGCCAGTGCGGCAATCAGAGTGAGCGAACCTCCAGCCCCTCCGATAGCCAGAGCCCCTAGATGGAACGGGGTGTGACTGTGGGGGTCTGGGCTCCATCTGTGCTTCCCAGAATCGTAGTTCCCCGGAAGGCGGGAGTCCCCGGCCCGGTGTCCCGTTGCCCAACCCCCAGGGGCCCTCCTCTGCCCAGTCGCTGGCTGCCGTCCTTTCTTCCGACGCTCCGACGTCCTACCCCTGCACGCAGGCGCTCAGGCCCCCGGGTGCCCACCGGAACCTGCCCAGACCCAGATATCTTTCTTCCCCGCCCGCCTCTCCTCCCTCCGCAGTCGGCTTCGAGTTCTGGAAGCAGCTGTGCGCCGAGCATGGCATCAGCCCCGAGGGCATCGTGGAGGAGTTCGCCACCGAGGGCACCGACCGCAAGGACGTCTTCTTCTACCAGGTGCGGGCGCCACGACGGGGGCCCGCGGGGACGGCAGCGCTCCGGTGCTGGGAACTCTGCACTCTGGGAAAGAGGCCGGGGCCGCAGGCTGAAGTGGGGGGCTGCGGGATCGGTGCTCGGCCACCCCAAGTGACAGCCCCCCGGCCTCCCTGGGCAGGCGGACGACGAGCACTACATCCCGCGGGCGGTGCTGCTGGACCTGGAGCCGCGCGTGATCCACTCCATCCAGAACTCCGCCTACGCCAAGCTCTACAACCCCGAGAACATCTACCTGTCCGAGCACGGCGGCGGTGCCGGCAACAACTGGGCCAGTGGGTTCTCCCAGGTCATTTGCCCGTCCCTAGCCAAGCCCACAACCCGCTGGGACTTCCTAGAGGGGGTGACACCAGCTCCGGGATGCATGAGTGCTGGAGCGCTCTGTGCTAGGGCAGTCTGAGAGCTTCGGGTATACTTTTTAAACCTCTCAACAGCTCTCGAGGTAGGGCCGACAGGTCACAGTGCCTTATCTACCATTCCAAAACCCATCACTTCTAAAGCAGCAAAACCAACTTTTGACGGAGACAGACTGTTTTATATTTTCTATCCAACTTACTGTCAGTACTCATACTTTTCATTGGAGAAATGTTAGTGTACTTGAGTAATACACATTAGACCCCATAAGGTTTTACTGAATATGCATTGTATGTACCAAACTGCCTTTCTAACTCCTGAAATATTTTGAGTTCAAAGTACAACTGGCCCCAAAGAATTTTCTCTAAGGGACTGCAGGCCTGTGTTATTACTGTCATTGTAGAGGAGGAAACCAGTGTAGAAAGATTTAAGTAACCTCACTGAACTGTTCAGAACTAGAGCTCACGTATGAACCTGGGTTGTCTGCATGTACAGTGCTGGCTTGTAACTATCTTCCCATACTGCTTCTCAATGCCTATAAAAGCCAAGGCCTCTGCGCACCATGGAAGAGCTTTGTAGCTAGGCATGGTGGTGCACTCCTGTAATCCCAACACTAGGAGGCTGAGGCAGGAGGACTACAAGTTTGAAGCCAGCTTGGACAACTTAGTGAGTTGGACCCTGTTTTCAAAATACGAGGAGATGGGGCTGGGGATTTAGCTTAGCGGCAAAGCGCCTGCCTGGCAAGCCCAAGGTCTTGAGTTCGGTTCCCAGTACTGGAGAAAAAAAAAAAAAATATGAGGAGAGCCGTATGTGGTGGCACACGCCTGTAATCCCAGCACTCAGGAGGCTGAGGCAGGAGGATCGTTGCAAGTTTGAGGCCAGCCTGGGCTACAAAGTGAGCTCAAGGCCAGCCTGAACTGCATAGTGAGATCTTGTCTCAAAAAGACCAAAAAAAAAAAGAAAAAAATGAAAAGGGCTTAGGATGTGGCTCAGTTCGATGCCCCTGGGTTCGATCTGCAGTGTCACAAAAGGTTATTCATAGGTCAGAGTGTTTGTCCCCTGGTCCTGTCCCACTCTGGCTCTCCTCCTTGTGTCTGTGCAGGGGGAGAAGATCCACGAGGACATCTTTGACATCATCGACCGGGAGGCAGATGGGAGTGACAGTCTGGAGGTGTGTGTCCGGGATGTGCTGGTCAGGCCTGCCATGGAGAAAGCCTGGCAACCCCTTTTGAAGCTACTTAGGCACACGGCCACCCTGTACCTCGGACAGCAGCCCCCAGGCCTTGCTGAAGGCAGGGCACCATCTCCTTGTCCTATTTGTTCCTGTGAGGGGACAGGAAGGGCTCGGCAGGTCATGAGTTGGAGCCCTTGTGGGACAGGTCTAACTTGAAACTGCCACCGGACACCACGACACTGGCTGTCCCTCTCCCACGCAGGGCTTCGTGCTGTGTCACTCCATCGCCGGGGGCACGGGCTCTGGCCTGGGCTCCTACCTCCTGGAGCGGCTGAACGACAGGTGAGGCTCCATGTCAGCTGGACGAGGCAGCCCGTGACCTTACCTTCCTAGAGCGAGGGAAGTGAAGCAACCTGGGGAAACAGATCGTGCTCCAGGGCGTGGAGCTAGAACCTAGAATCTGGGCCCTGCTGGAGGTCCAGCCAGTGAGACAGGTTTCGAGTTGAAAACCTAGATTCTGCAGTGTCTCTGCCCTTCCCCCTCTTCTGGGTTGCAGACTTTCAAGAGTGAAATCTTAGCCAGGCGTGGTGGCACACTCCTGTAATCCCAGCACTTGGGAGGCTGAGGCAGGAGGATCGGTGCAAGTTCGAGACCAGCCTGGGCTACAAAGTGAGCTCAAGGCTGGCCTGAGCTGCATAGTGAGACCCTGTCTCAAAAAGACAAAATAAAAAAGAGTGAAATCTTCTTTAATACTGATTTGTGAGCCCAATTTCTGCATCCAGGTTTAGTGATTCCCAGACATGTGGAAGAGTCCTGTGTTTCCCTAGCCTTCAATCTGCACCCCTCTTTTTCTTCCAATTCCACCAGGTACCCCAAGAAGCTGGTGCAGACCTACTCGGTGTTCCCCAACCAGGACGAGATGAGCGACGTGGTGGTGCAGCCCTACAACTCCCTCCTCACGCTCAAGCGGCTGACGCAGAACGCGGACTGTGTGGTGAGCCCCACGTTCCAACTGCCCCCTCCTCACCCCCGTTTTATCATTTTTGTGCATTTAAAAAGTCAATTTTAACTGGACCAGGTGGTTCATGCCTGTAATCCCAGCACTTGGGAGGCTGAGGCAGGAAGATCATAAGTCTTAGGCCTGCCTGAGCTACATGAGTTCAAAGTCAGGCTGAAGTACATAGTGAGACCCTATCTCTCTCTCTCTCTCTCTCTTTCTTTCTTTGTTTCTTGAAGTACATAGTGAGACCTTATTTCTCTCTTTTTTTCTTCCTTCCTTCCTTCCTTCCTTCCTTCCTTCCTTTGTCTTTCTTTCTTTTTGGCGGGACCCTATCTCAAAAAGACAAAAATAAATAAATAAAAGGCTGAGTTTGGAGCTCAGCAGGTCCTGGCCCCGAAGTCAGTGGGCTGGGCAGATTCCTTGTGAGTGGATCTTTCTGGTTGCGAGAATCATAGCTCCCAGCTCAGGCAGAGTTCTGGATATTCCTGTCCCCGTCGTTCTGCTCCTGCTCTCCCCAGGTGGTGCTGGACAACACAGCCCTGAACCTGATCGCCACAGACCGCCTGCACATCCAGAACCCGTCCTTCTC